TGTCAGAGGATGGAGGGCTGTGGTCAGATTGCACTGTGTTGGAGAACTCCCACAGCAGTATTTTGATTGCTGGCACAAGTCAAGGTAATTCAGAACCAACTTGAGAGTACTGAAAAATCACACGAGGTGCCAAACCACATCTCAGCACTCCTGGGAATAAGGAGAACAGACAAATATCTTAAACCACATTTTGCTCCACCCCCATCTCCTCAGTTGTACCATGAGGAGCTCTGGTACAGTTAAAGATTTAACTCTGTCAGACTGATTAATTATATATCATTTTATACTCCATGACACCTCTTACCGGGAGTGTGTTTGTAGGAATTTCCAACTGGAGGAGTGGAACCAAATATGAAATCAAAAGGAGCCACTTCTTTTACCTAATAAGATGTACAAGTTTCAGAACTTCTTGTTTCTTTTAGAACCATGTATTTACATTCTTCTTTTGGTGGCTATTAAAATGCAAGCTTTTGCATACAGGCACTCAGACACTAAAGGCTGTGTCTACATTGGCAAGATTTTGCACAAAAGCAGCCACTTTTGCGGAAAATCTTGCCGCCTGTCTACAATGGCCACGAGTATTTGCTCAAAAACACTGACATTCTATTGTATGAAATCAGTGCTTCTTGCACAAATACTCTGATGCTCCCGCTCAGAGATAAGTCCTCTTGAGCAAGTGTTCTTGTACAAGAGGCCAGTGTAGACAGGTAACATCAATTTCTTGCGCAAGAAAGCCCAATGGCTAAAATGGCCATCGGAGCTTTCTTGTGCAAGAGAGCATCTACACTGGCACGGATGCTTTTGCGCAAAAGCAAATCTTTTGCACAAAGGCACATGCCAGTATAGACGCTCTCTTGCACAAATACTTTAACGCAAAAACTCTTGCGTTAAAAGTATTTGCACAAAATCATGCCAGTGTAGACACAGCCTAAGAGGATAGGTGTGGTATAAGAACCTGAATGGAACAGAACCTGATATGAGCAGTGGCTCTATCTGAAGAATTCTTTCCCTCCTAGTTTGCCCAATGCAAGCCTCTCTGGGGACATTATCAGATGTCACTCCCAATCACAGATAATTCTGCATTATTCTCTTATTAAGTCACAGAGGGCTTGTACTTAATGCTTAAGTTAGCATTTAGTCATTGCATAGCTCTCACACAACTGAAAACCAGAACGTGGTGTTGAGTGCAGTGTGTAGTTCAGAACCCCAGCTTCTAAAATAGAGTCTGACCTTTGGTCTTTGCAGCCCATGCTGCACTGTTCCATAACAATAGCATTTTCTCCACACAGATTCATCCTTGTACTAAACATGCAAAAAAAGAATAACTGATCTGTACCAAGCAGCCAGTAATGTCTGCATACAGAAGGCCAAATTTTCAAAATGTAACCTGTATTTGTGCACATGATGTTTTGCACTCAAATCACTTACATATGGAGTTAACCCTTGTGCATGCAGGTAATAGAAAATACATGCACATGGTGCCAACAACAATACATCAGAAGACACAGTGGTGAGGAAATTGTATATACAAAGGATGAATGTCATTAGCTGCACAAAAATCTCCACCCTCCTTTTAAAGTGGACATGAGTTGGCATAATCTCTCAAAGACTGGCATGGGAGAACTAGTTGTGAAGACCACCAGACTTTGCAATACAAGACCACGGCATGAAAAGAAAAGGAACTAGGAGTTTAGAAAGGCAAATGGCAGCATAGTGAGTGGTCAGATTTTGAAATACTAAATATGGTATGGGTTATGCTATTTATCCATCACTGAAATTGCAGAATGGTGGTGTACTTTCAGTGGGCAAATGAGGATGGTTTGAATAAAATTAATTACAGAGTGACTTGGACATCTGTAAGGGTGTGTCTAGACTACAGAGTTGTTGTTTTTTTAAAGTGGAGTTTTTTTGAAAAAACTGTACCTGCGTCTAGATTACTGCCGCATTCTGTCCACAGTAAATTGAAAGAACACAGCAGTTTTGTCGATGGCAGTAAACCTCATTCTGAGGCCTTGACAAACAGCAGCGAAATCTACTCGCCAGCCCCGCACTGTGCATGCGCACGCCGCTAGTGAACGGGGAAACCGGCTGAAAGAACACAGCAGTTTTGTCGATGGCAGTAAACCTCATTCTGAGGCCTTGACAAACAGCAGCGAAATCTACTCGCCAGCCCCGCACTGTGCATGCGCACGCCGCTAGTGAACGGGGAAACCGGCTAAAATCTACTCACCATGGGCGAGTAGATTCAGTGATTTGTCGAGCCCTGCTCATTCTACAAGGAATAATGCCTTTTTTCGAAAGTCATCTTTTGAAAAAAGGCGCTATTGCATGAAAACAGGGCTTTTTCGAAAGAGAGCATCTAGACTCTCTTTCGAAAAAGCGAGCCGCTTGTTCAAAAAATCTTGTTGTTGTCTAGATGCTCTTTTTTGAAAGAGGCTTGCAGTCTAGATGTAGCCCAAGAGTTCACAAAGAAAATACTGCCACCATTTCAGGCGGGATCTCTCAAATCTTGGAGCAGGAGAGATTTTCAGTCAATTCATTGAATCCTTGTAGCATGTACTTGATTAAACCATGCATTTATATGGAGAATCTGCTCTTCCATTGCCCCATTATACAAAGTTTGGTAAACATAGACCCACATTTCCACTTCTCTCCTCTCTTCCCCAACTGAGTAAGGAGATTTTTCAGTAGGGACATTTGCATTAGGGGCAATAGAATTACTGTTATTTATTGCTTGCATTGTGGTACTGTCCACAGGAACCAATCAAGCCAAGGCTCTAATATACTAAGGTGCTCTACATACATAAGAATGGCACAGTGGGTCAGACCAAAGGTCTGTCTAGCCCAGTAACCCGTCTTCCTATAGTGGCCAATGCCAGGTGCAACAGAGGGAATGAACAGAACAGGTAACTGTATGTCAAGTGACATATAAAGCACATATGAAGATACAATACTCACTTGAAGGAACTTACAGTTCAGGGACCCTTTAGTGCCCACTGAAGTCAGTGTAAAAACACCCAGGCTACGTCTAGACTGAAGGACCCGATCTAGTGCCCACTGAAGTCAGTGTAAAAATACCCAGGCTACGTCTAGACTGGCATGATTTTCCGCAAATGCTTTTAACGGAAAAGTTTTTCCGTTAAAAGCATTTGTGGAAAAGAGCATCTAGATTGGCACGGACGCTTTTCTGCAAAAGCACTTTTTGCGGAAAAGCGTCCGTGCCAATCTAGACGCGGTTTTGTGCAAGAAAGCCCCGAGCGCCATTTTCGCCATTGGGGCTTTTTTGTGCAAAACAGTTTTTAGCTGTCTACACTGGCCCTCTTGAGCAAAAACATTTCCGGAAAAGGGCTTTTGCCCGAATGGGAACGTCAAATCATTTGCGCAAGAAGCACTGATTTCAGACAGTAGAACGTCAGTGCTTTTGCGCAAAAACTTGCCAGTCTAGACGCAGCCCCATTGTCTTCAGTGGGCACTAGTTGGGACCCTAAGGAAAGCGTCTATAACAGAAGAATCCTCCACTCACACTCCTCAACCTGGATCCAGGGTGTAGTGCAGTTCTGCTGTCCCTCTTACTATTACTGAGGCCTGTGGTGGTGCCTGTGGCCCATTACGTGCTCACTTTGAGACTCAAGTTTTGGCAGGTAGATGTTTTTTGTTTGTAAACACACTGTCCACATCCCAGATTCTCTTCTGCCCACCTGTGAGCCCCTCCTGTAGAAGCACTGGTGTGATGTGAGCTGCTTTTCAGCCCAGTCCCAAGCGAGAAGGCAAGGATCTCACTTTGGCCTGCCTGACCTCCCTCCCCTCAGAATGATGAAGGTTCTGCTTCAGTTTAGGTCATGCATGGCTACCTGGGGGCTGCTAGTGTTCCCCTACAATTATCACAGCATGCAATAATGTAGCTTCAGAGCTGTGCACAGTTAACGCGGTGATGTTTTCCATGCCGTACTTACATCTGTCCTCCGAACATCAGTGACATCATCTAAGTATGTCAGCCTGCCACCAACCCCCAAGCTGCTGTCCAAAAATCCAAGATTTGTCATCTCTGAAGAATGGAGATTAGAAACACAGTGTTAGTGCTGGAATCTGGGCCCTCATGCACGTTACTTCAGCACATTCCTAACTATAAGCATTGCCTGGGCTGGTGGAGGGACCTAATGTTTCAAACTAAGCACATACTTTCCTCACGGGCCCAGTGAGCAGTTCAGTAACTGACATTTAAGCAGGTAGCTCTTCTAGTATAGAACAGTGTTGGGTATTTACAGCTTCACCAACTGACAAAGCTGAAGACATTTAAAAAAATCAAGATTACAAACGTGAGATCAAACTATGTAGTGCTGTACTGAATATCCCCACTCGGGCTACAAATAGCAGCATTTAAATCCATAACACGGTATGGGATTGTTCTGAAACTTACTCTTTTTTCCATAAAAAATAACAACATTTTGAAGGGTTTTTTTTTTCTCTTTACTGGTTTCAAAATGGATTTTATTTCCTAAATGTGTCAATGACATTTTCATATACACGTTTATCAAAAACCATTGGTCAAATGTTTTGTTTATGAAGGGTTTTTGGTAAAGAACATGACCAAATGGTTATTTAAATCAGATTTTTGATAATGTTTTTGAAAAATATTAATAGAAAATATTGACAGAAACAATTTTAGCAAAACATTTTTTTTCAAAAAAAGTTCTATAAAAAGCCATTTTTTGACAAAAGAGGTCTATCAAAACACATACCTTTATGTTGGTCATAATGATTCATGAAGGTCAAAATGTAACCAAAGCATGGGACTCATTTGTCCCATTGGACAATGGAATTACATCACAGATGAATTTGGCCTGATACATTGATTTTTTTAAATATATCTGTCACAATCGTAAGCCTTTTGTATCCACTTACCTGTGGTAATATTATCAAAAAGGGAGAGAACACGGATTGGTTTACGTTCCCATGCAGATAAAGGCCGATAAATCTTAAGATGGTTCTGTCATAAAAAAAAAAAAGACCCTTGTTTGCACAACCCATTCTGTTGTGTGAATACTCAACATTGCTCATTAATAACAATAAAGGACAGGTGCTGGCCTGTTTAAGGAATCTATTTAATTAGGACTGTCTCAGCGTAGGCAGGGAACTGCACAGCCTGGAAAACCCGTGGTTAGGAGGTGGAAACATGGGGATCTTTGCCCAAGAGTATTGATGCTTGAAGAACCCGGAACCTAGAGTGAGAACTGTTGATGGGCTACGGATAAGGAATACAAATGCAGGTGCCCTGACACACTGCTTTTTTAATTAAATGATCCACCCAGCAACCATTCTTCTCTTCAGGATCCAGTCAGGATCCCAAAGTCCAGAGGAGGGCATTATACATATGCTGTGGGCATAAGGCAACTAATGGCTATTAAAAGCATTTCAGAACCTTGGAAATTTCTGGAGTGTGATTGACACATTAGGAAGTAATGATTTATATGTTGCAAATAAATATCCCTTTGTATGGGAGGAAGAGATCAGGTTTTCAGCAGTATTTGTCCCCAAATGTTTTTATTTTTGCAAACGACAGCCTCACATCCCTTCTAACAGTACAGCTCATGGGGTTCTGCTTCCACCTGCTGGCGGCAGAATATCTGATAATGGGTATGCTGACTTTCCTCTTGCAGAAGTGGTAAGATACCTTAGTTTTTCTGGAGTCCTTAACTGGCCTCAACTAGGATCTCTCAATTGGCACAGAATACAGTAATAAATGATACAGTTCAAAAATTGCAAAGTTGTTAATTCTAATCTATATTTTGCTTATGACAGCAGCCTGATGCAGTTAATATAGTTTAATTGTTTTAGTATAAAGAAAAGTAATCCAGTATCATAAATGAATCTAGTTCTGAATACTTTGCATGCATTCTTTATCAGAAATCTAATTGATCTTTAATAGTTCTATATTGAGTAAAAATGATCATTCCTTCAATCTATTTTGATAGCACCAGTGTCCCCAAAAAAGTGCCACATACACTTACTGATCGAGAAGGAAAATATATATGTTGAATCACCATGAACATATCTCCTTTTTAGCTCCCTGAAACTGTGTCCTTACTAAAGTGTTTCTTCTTCAGTCCCACACACACCACGATCCTGCAAATACGTAGCAATCTGTGTAATTTTGCTGACATACATGAAGTCAGACACACATACATATGTGCAGAATCAGAGCCCAATGTTGATTTAGGATGCAAAGCTACTGTGTATTGATTTACTTTTTTATAAGAAAGAAGATTCAAGCGTTTGGTGTGAAAACGTAAGCACATGTAGGAGAGCATTATTAAAGGCTGCGGGAAGAAAGATAGGTCAAAGGTTGGGTCTGTGTCAGCCCTGACTCCTCCATCCCTTTACTTTTATATTAAAAGTCACTTGAGATGCTCCTTACAGATTCCTGATCATAGAAGCTCTTCAGTTCTGCACGCCATCTGTTCTTCCTCTTCAGTAATCCATTTGAACTCAAGGGAAGGCACATGAAACACAACCATGTGTTCATTGCTTTAACTTTCTCTGCAGTACCAGGACTTACAAGCACATCCAGACACTCAAGGCAATAGCACCTACACAAATTAAATAATGTCAATTCAGTGTTTAAACTGTTCTCTGCACACATTCTATGCCCGCAAAAGGCTCAATTTAACTTGTTTGATTGTTTTCTGTTACTTAAAATCATATTCAAGAGAATGATCTCTTTCCTCAGAAATGGTTTCACTGAAGATGCTGGTACATGTGCTATCTGATAAAATGCTATTGTGGTGTACCGTTCATGAATGATCCCCCTCTGTGTTCCTGGCCACACCTTTAAAACAATCAAAGTTGAGATAGATTCAAAGAAACAACCCCAAAATATATGCAAAGCTCAGGGTATGGTAAGAATGGAAAAAGTGGGAGTTCAGTTTGTTTTCAATCAGATGACCTGCCAGGCTAGATCTGTCCAGTAAAACCCACTTGCTTTTTATTTTCATATTAAGTCTAGAGAGCAAATCAAACTACCATTGAACTTAATGGAAAAACCACCTCCTCTACTAATATAGGAGTTAGGTGGGGCCTGAATGCATTATAAGGAAACTCTTGTTTATCTAGGGCACAACAACTAAGGGATAGGCTTTAGGAATGGGATAGGTTATTTCTATGGGGGAGAGTGGATAAAAGGGGGCACCCAAGCCAAGCCAACCTTAAAGATTAAAGTATCCTCAAAATGGGGCAGTTACGTGATACTGAAAAGGGCAAGTATTTGGCTATTTCCCCCGGGGACTGCCCTATGGATTGCCAACTGGCTAATCACACAAACCCAGATATCTTTTCCCCACCTCTGCCCCTTCTTTGAGGCCCAACCCTACTCACTTTATCCACTGCTTGTTCTCCCTCATTCTTATTTTCACCAGACTGAGGTAGGGGGTTAGGGTGGAGGAGGGAGTGTGGGGTGCAGGCTCTGGGAGAGCATTTGGGCTGGAGCAGGGGTTGGGATGCTGGAGGAGGTGTGGGGTACAGGTTCTGGCTATGTAGCACTTACCGTGGGAGGCTCCTGGTTAGTGCTGCAGCAGGGCTAAGGCAGGCTCCTTGCCTGCCCTGGCTTCATGTGGATACCGTAAGTGGTTGGCACATCCCTGCAGTCCCTGGTCGGGGGATGGGAGGGGAGCAGGTGGCTCTGCACACTACCCTTGCTTCAAGCATTGTCCCTGCAGCTCCCATTGGCCATGGTTCCTGGCCAATGGGAACTGCGGAACTGGCACTTGGTAGTAGGTGCAGCTCATGGATACCCCATGACCTCCCTCCTAGTGGCCACAGGGATGTGCTGGCTGCTTCCAGGAATGGCACGGGGCTAGGCAGGGCAGTGTTTTGAATAATATGAAATTTTCCTTAACAGGTTTGTAGAATTTCATTTATTTATTCACATTTATAATGGAGGGTTTTTAAGAGATGGGTTTTTCTCTAATCCCATCTCTTGCTATCTTCCGGATAGTTTGTGTTGAATTGTGTGCAGAACGACAGACGGTTTAAATGTGCATGTGAGTGCTGGACACGACAACACCTGCACATCCTAAAGATATATGGCAACATGATGATAGGCGGTGAGCACAGTGCAAATGCGGATCTAAAACCCTGACATCCCAGCACCCCAAGCTTATCTGAACTGTGCAGCTAGCTCCAGCCTCAGTGAACTGAACCAGAACCCTCCATGAAAACGTGCCCCTGCAAACTTTACCAGAGTTTGGAACTGGACTTGAACCTTGTGGGTTAGGATATGTCCCTGGGGCGACAGTTAGCCATACTGAGTTGGCTTTAATGTAGCTAGCTGAGGCCCCAGAGCAGTTAAGCCATGGTAGCACATACTTCAGCATGGGCCAACACCACAAATAATTACCCAGGATTTTGGGCCAGTTTTTACTGCCTGTTCTGACACATGCAGCTGCACCACTCTGGTACCCAAGTTAGCGAGATTAAAGCTAGCTGGAATTTGTCCATTCATGCTGTATCACATGCTGTGGCTGAAGTCTAGACATTCCCTCAGGTCTACCTCTACTTTTTACCTATTACAAGTCGGATCATCGCACATTAGCAGCGTCTTTCCTGAGCAGCAGATGGTACAGTAGGACTGAAAGCCGTCATCATCATACAGGAAAAATGTTTCCACAAAGTTCTCCTTATAAAACAGCAAACTATAGTTAGTTGCAAATGTAGGTTTATTTGCTGAAATGTAACAATCATTCTCAGCTGTTCTGCTTTTCACGTGAGCTTCACTATTATTCATTTTTTATGTAGCACCAGTAATGTGAATGGGGCTTTGCAAACAGAAAAATATGTTTTGTGCCCTAGGAAGCATTGCATGTACAACTGAATGTAGACCAAATACTGACAAAGGTGGTGAAGAATGGGATGTAACAGGAAAGCAGTGATGTATTAGATAACTTTAGACATATAATTACAACACTTAGATTATACATGGTGCTTCTCATCAATAGATCTCAAAAGGAGGCAAATATCAGTACGGTACCCACATTTATAAATAGGGAAACTGAGGCATGGAAAGGGAAGTGACTTTTCCGCAGGGCAACATAATAATATAGAAGTTCTAATTTTTAATGTATTATTTTTATCAATGTGTGCAAACTCTAATGGGAGCCACATTAAAGATATTGAGTTGAGACATGAGTGTGCCTGGTTAGTGATACTTTCTTATATATTTAGACGAGAATGGGATCATTATGATCAGCTAGGACTTAAAACCTCATCCAATCATTTCTGCATCAAGACCATGGCTTCTGTCCAGGCTACGGAGTATCTTTTTAAAAAATGTGCCATCTGGATCTAAAGCCTTGAGCTGATGGAGAATCCACCACATCCTTTTGGTAAGTTGTTCCAATGGGCACAGTATTCTAGTATCAATTTGTCTAGCTTCAGCTTCCAGCCATTACATAGGTGCCAGTACTAAGGATGTGGGGGGTGATGAAGCACCTCCTGCCTTGAAGTGACTTTCATTATACCAAGGCTTTACAGTTTGGTACAATGGCTGTCAGCACTCCAACGTTGTATGCACAAGCTGCTCCAGCCCCCCAACATTGTATGTCATCATCCCCTTTTCTGCTAGATTAAACAACAGTCTACTATCAGAACCCTTTTGCTAGGTAGGCAGAGATGCTGCCTCCATGGGTGGTCCAGCCCTGGAGCACCTATGGAAAAGTATTAGTGGGTGCTTATCATTCACAGGCAGCCAAGTTCCCCCTCTGCCCTCCTGTGCCTACCACCAGTGGCAGCCCCACCAGTTAACTCCTCTCTCTCCCTCCCAGCACTCCTGCCCACTACAACCAGCTGAACTGAGGTGTGCAGGAGGCTCATGGAAGAAGGGGGAGGAGCAGGGATAGGGCACACTCAGGGGAGGGCATAGGAAGAGGGCAGGGGAGGCTGGGAAGACGCCAGACAGGGGTGAAGGCTTGGAGGAAGTTGTCAGGTATGGATGGGGTCTTAAGCACATCCCAGGCTGGGAGGAAACTGGCACCTATGCATGTAGGTGCTTACAGAGTGATCAAGTCACCTTTGTACCATTTCTTAAATAAACTAAACAGACAGTGTTTCTGAGGTCTTATTGTAAGGCAGTAAGGCTTTCTTATTGAGCCATATCAACTACTAACCGTACATGGAGAACAAATTCCTCCGTGGAACAAGGGATGCTGGGTATGAATCTGGAAACTACCACAGCAGATGCAGATTTCTATATGAAACACAAAGAATGTCGTCTTTCAAAATCTGGCATTGCTTAATTTCAGCCTCTCTCACCTATCTCTTCTGGACAAGATGCAGAATTCTACAGACACAGCTCTCAGAAACCCTAGAGGCTAGACATACCCAGATCAGTAACTCTCATTGTTACTTGCTCAACACACCTGTTAGCAATGAAAAACACTGACTGGGATATTCTTTAATTATTTCTAAATAAGAGATTTAAGAATATGGTCCTCTCCTGCATAGCGCAAAGGATAGGAAAAGGGTCAATGTTAACTAACACAGCCAAAAGGGACAACTGTGTTTTTAATACAAACAATTTTAAGCACTGTCAATGCAAGGATCCACCTCCAGCTGAGATAATCACTGCTGTGGACTTGCCTGTGAGCCATTTCTGTCAAGGTTGCCTGCTAGAGACCTGCCAATACTTCCAAATCCACAAGCTTTGTTCTTAAGGGCTAGATTTTCAATGAGGATCTCTGATCTGAAGAAAAACATGTATCTCTTTAGCCAGACAATTTCTTCTTGGCTTCAGAATCTATTCAGCATCATAGCAGCTTCTGTTCTCTCTGAGGGCTGGCCTAACACACCCACAAATGATCCTGGAAAGGGCACAGATACAGCCACAAGGCAGTGCAGTCTTTGTGCCAAATCAGCTTTCATTTGCATTTTTAAAACAGACAGTTTATATCAAATTTGCTGATAGTGCTAGCGATGAGCCCCCTGAGATGCTGGTCTATGCCCACCAAATCATTTCCTATATGCCAGCAAACCACTAAATGTTAATGTCTTTCAGGCACTAACAGCCTCAGGCAGATTTCAACTAGTGAATCAGAAGCGAGGACGGCTTTGATCCCAGTCCTTTAGGACAGCCATTGTATGGCTAATTTTTGTAATGTATTTTTGTTTATGTTTGATTTCCCCATATTTTTGGGTACTGCTTAGGGTTGGACACTTGGATTTTTTTGATATAGTGGTTAATATGCAGTGTGACATGGAAATTAAGCCACATGGCTAAAATGGCCTATTAGTTGTAGGTAATTTAGTTTGATTACTCACCTTCAATACTCCTTTGGTTTTCATTGACTTCATGTGCAATAAAGTCTGGGGGGAGGAAACAAATTGTAATACCCGTTGTTTATTTCTTCAAAATGTTGCAGAGCAACGATCCATAAGAGTTGGCATAACCTGTATTTTCTGCTATAGAAAGGGTTCTCTGAAATGTATGGGGCCAAGCCTTCAAGCCCTCCCCTTGAAGAAGTTCCATTAGAGTCCATGTGAGTGCTGCATGCAACAAACTTTGATAGTCAATCTTATCAGTTTTGCTCCAAAGTTTCCTATGTGTAGATCAAATAACACACACACACACACTCTCTTTCATATATTCAGCAGGTCAAGTTGTAGCAATGCTTAAAGAAACAGTCTGTAAAAGTACCTCTGTTGGGGCTTGTAGGTGTAACAAGCATTATTTCTTCAAGAGAGCCAAGAGATATCACATCGGAAGAAGTGCTTTCTTTTTCTTGCAGCTCTATCACTGGGGGGCGGGGGAGGAAGGGGAGGGAGCAAAAAACATCAGCTTCTTGGACAATAACTCAATTTTTAGCAGCACTGTGATTTTCTAACCAGGAAACACCAGTATAGCTAGTTTGCACCATTGAACTTTTGCCACGTAGGGTGTGTCTAGACTACAGGGTTTTGTCAACAACACTGGCCTTTTGTCGACAAAACTATACCTGCGTCTACACTACCGCTGAGTTCTGTCGACGGCGGTAAAGCTTACTTTACGAGTAACAATGCCTTTTGTTGACAGAGTTCTGTCGACAGAAGGCATTATTGCATCTACACTGTCCTTTGCGTCTACACTCTCATGTCAACAAAGCGGCTTGCTTTGTCAACAGAACTGGATGTAGTCTAGATGCTCTTTGTCAACAGAAGCTTTGTCGACAGTCAGTGTCTGTCGACAAAGCCTCTGTCGTCAAAAGCCTGTAGTCTAGAGTACCCATAGAGAAACACTAGTATAGCCCACCCACATTCACTGAATTCTTCAAACAGCCCAGAAGTTGGGTATTTATACAGCTGATTTGTGCACAGTTAAGCAGCAGGTGGGGGGAGATCAGTTATTAGTCTGATGTGCAGAGTGGCACAACCCTCATCTGCATTGAAGTGGCAGTTGTGTAACCCACAAAGGAGGCGCTCATATTTCCCAGGGCAACATTAACTGTGAATCAGACACAGTCTCTCCTATGCCCACAGTCTGGTACTGAGCCTCCCTTCCCATTTTCCCCAAAGGGGAGGAAGTTTAAAGTTGATTGTTCAAGTCCAGCCTCCTTCAGGCTGCTCCCAACGCCTCCCAGCGTTGCTTTGGACAATCCCTTGGTTCCAAAGGGCTCACAGCCCCTGGCTGGCTCCTTTGCCCACCTGTCGCAGAGAAGCGGGGTTCCACCTCACTCAGGCCCTCAGCGCTGTCTGTGTCCGACAGGACCAGCGCCGGCTCTGCCTGGGCCATGCTGTGCCTGTGGCCCGATGCGCAGCGCGCCCGGCAGCAGAAGCGCACGTGGGGACGGGTGCTGACCCCGGCTGGAGAGCGCTCGGGCGCGGTGCAGGGCGCGGCTCGTCTCTCGCGCGGCGTCGGGGCGCTGGAGGACGTGCCGGGGGGCGGTGTTGGAATTCATCTGCCAAGGGAATTCCAGCCTTGAGAGATCGCAGGGACGAGCGACCCAGCCCTGGCGGCGGAGCAGGTGTGTTGCAAGGCTCGAGGCACCTGCCAGTGGTACAGTACTTAGAGCCAAGCTAACGCCGGTGGAGCAGCAACGTGCTGTAGTTGTTCAACCTGTTGGCAGTCTGGTAGGCAGAGCGAAAAAGAGCAGGTTAGAAAGAAAGAAAGAAAGAAAGAAAGAAAGAAAGAAAGAACTGTAGCGCCTGTATTATCATTAGCCTGTGCTGTGCTGCAAGTGCTGTAAGCTCTCGCTAGTCTCCCATGTCTTGCTTTAACATATGTACTGCAGAGGCATATCCAGTGTTGTGTATGTATATCTCAGGTATCTATCCCTGTACAAACATTAACTTACTGTCAGAACTCCACAAAACTGTTATTTTAAAAAAAAGGTTTATATTTAATACCAGATACTACAATAATAATACTATATATATTCATACAGTTTATAAATTATATATAAATATTTTATAAAACACATATATATAATCATAATACCAGATGTCACAATAGTATTATATATGTATATCTCTCTCTATATATTATAAACTGTATATAGATATATACATACAATTATACACACACACACACACACACACACACATATACAGCTTATATATAATTTATAAACTATAATATATAACATTTATAAACTATATTTATATCTATAATTTTCCCAAGAGGGGAGGAAATTTAGAGTTTATTGCTTAACTCCAGCAGCCTGTACAATAGGCTGCTTCCACCCCTCACCATCCACCCAACAGTGTTATTGACAACCCCCTGGTTACAAAGATCTTGCAGCCCCAGGCTGGCTCCAGTCATGGCCTATGCTCACCTATTCCAGAGAAGTTTGGCTCAATCTCTTCTGAGTCCTCAGCACTGTCTATGTCCAACAGGACCAGTGCCGGCTCTGGCACACATTTTATAAAACTCTGACAAATTAACGCTGCTCATAGTCTAGTATTATGATTATTCCTCATAAATATATTGGGAGATTTTTGCTTTTCATACACATAGCAATTTTTAAAGATAAAAGCACAAGAGTTTTAGTCAATAAAAAGAAACCTTATTGCATTTGTGTGCATAACTCAACACCTTTTTCTATTGAATTTTTATTGCTGAATGAGGATTTTTTTAAATGAATGATTTTAGGTGCAAATCTTGTCTTTTAGTAACCTCTAGGAGCGATACCAGATACTGCATGCTCTTTCTTCACAGAATTAAAAATAAATAAAGATTAAAAAATGTTAGAAAGAGCAGATACAACCAGTTTCTCTTGAGAAAAAGGATGTCACAACCAACAAAACAGCCCCTACTCTGCCCCTGGACAGTTGGACTGTCCAGAGACAGGTGACAGGGAAAATGTGGAACCAGATGGATATGAATGGAAAGAGCATAAGAGGGAGAATGAGCAGTTAAGAGATGGACTTGAGGGAGGGAGGACGTTATACTTAAGTAAAGAAAAAGGATGGTGGGAAAGTGTTGAGGAAAATAAAAAATAATGTCATAGAATGACTGATGCCAAAATAGTGCACCAAAATGTACAATGCTATTTGCCAGGGAAGTCAGAGGATGTCAACTGTGTATGAAGAGGGGACCTGAGAGCTCTTTTGCAAGGGAGCCTATCACATTACTTCAGTGATTTTATAAATTGCCTAACCTGAGTTAGTGGAGCATGAGAGGTTTGGGTGCGTATTTGTTGATGTTTTGGCAAATAACTCCTCTGGCAAGTTAGTGAAATACAAGGACTGTGTAAAAAATTGTTTTTTAAAACTGTATTTAGTGTTTCTTTTGAACTCTCTTAAAGTCTTCTAAAATGCCAGAAACACAAAGTATTTCAAAATATTTCCAAAGAGGGTTTGCTGTTCTCAGCCAATGGAAGCTGCAGGAAGAGGTAGCATGGCCTTTGCTGCTTCTTGCAGCTCCCAAAGGCCAGGAACAGTGAACTGTGGACAACAGGAGCTGCAAGCAGCTGTATCTGCAGATGCACAGGTAAATAAAGTATCTGGCAACCTTTGATTTGACGTTGAAAGAGAGGTATCTGGAATCAGAAACTTAAGCTGCAGGAAGCCCCTTTGTAAATAGACATGGTCACTGACAAACTGTTGGAGGTAAAGAACCCACATTATACTAGAGTGATATAGCCATAAAGAATTGTCTTATGATAAATGAAAACTATTGTAGTAGATATTATAACACTGGCAGATAATATAATTAATAAACAATTATCAAAGGGTTTCTAGATATAAACAAAAAACAAGGTTGTTCTTTTGCGCCATCTAGTGACTGTGAGAAATACAGACACATGCTCCCAGATCTTTCACAATATTTCTGTTATACTATTCAAGATTTCACTGGTTCATAGTTGCTATTAAGGCAAATCTTGCCTTTAAGGCAAATCTGTAAAATTTATCCTAAGAATGTTGCCTTGGAGTTAGGTTGGTATAATGAGAAGATCATCATGTGATTACAGACAATTGTACTCTTGAAGCAAATAAAGTTAAAATGAGGGGAATTTCACCTGAAAGATTAAATTAGGGAAGAAATTATTGTCATTTTAATGGCAGATATTTTTTCCTGAAGGCAGGAATACATTGTTATAATAATGTGATTTTTTTAGCGAAGGTACTTTCTTCTTGATGCTCCATAAATTTAGACTAAAAAAACTATTTTGAACCTCTCTTGATAGAACTGCCTGCTGTTAGTACAGGAGTCCTATAATCTGCCAGTCCAAAATTATACATACAGAATTCTTACATATTTTATAATCTACATATATAAAATAGTATTGAGAGCTTAAATGATATGTTCAATATATCAGTTTGCATGATGGAAGGCAGTAGCCTTTTATGTGTTATATTTGCAATTAGCCTTCATTCTAAGAGTTCATTCTGGTCATCCCTACTTCTTGTTAGTAACTTGATTCCCATTTAGGGAAATGCAAATTTCTGCATGAGAAAAAAGACTATCCACAAGAGTAAAAAATGGAAGGATTGACCCCTAATGTTTTTTTTAAGTAAACCTATAACTCGAAACTTACTTTTTTGCTCTGCCCACAAAAGGGAACATTTTCTGTAGAGTACAAACAAAAAAATCAAATTCATTCCAAGTTACAGGCTATTCTAGAATTATCTGATTTTAAATGTTGACTTTTGTTGAATGTCTTATTTGTGTATCTCTAGCTCAGAATGACTTGTTTATGTTTCTACATCTCTTTGAAATCTTGTATATGGGCTATTTTTGAAGGAAAAGAATGGTAACTAAGCAAAACTATTTAAAATTTTTTGTTGTTCATAATTGGGGCTCATTCTTGCTTCCATTACCATCAACAGGTGGTTTGAGGGTTTTGTTGTTTGTTGTTTTACCATTGACTTCATTGGGAGCAGGTTGTATAATTCTAATTAGCGTATGCAAGTGCGTTAAGTGCGTAAACACCTCTAGGGATGGAGACTCCACTACTTCCCTAGGTAACCCATGCCAGTGCTTCACTACCCTCCTAGGCTGTGTCCAGACTCAGGGGTTTTTTCGAAAAAAGTAGCCTTTTTTCGAAAAAACTTCACCTGCGTCTAGACTGCAGCCGCGTTCTTTCGAAATTAAATCGAAAGAATGCGGCTTTTCTTTCGACGGTGGTAAACCTAATTCCACGAGGAAGAACGCCTTCTTTCGAAAGTGCTCTTTCGAAAGAAGGCGTTCTTGAAAGCAAACAGGCTTTTTAGAAAGAGAGCATCCAGACTCACTGGGTGCTTTCTTTCGAAAAAGCGGCTTGCTTTTTCGAAAGTTCTGCGTGCAGTCTAGACGCGCTCTTTCGAAAGAGGCTCTTTCGAAAGAAGGCGTTCTTGAAAGCAAACAGGCTTTTTAGAAAGAGAGCATCCAGACTCACTGGGTGCTTTCTTTCGAAAAAGCGGCTTGCTTTTTCGAAATTCCACGTGCAGTCTAGACGCTCTCTTTCGAAAGAGGCTTGCAGTCTAGACGTAGCCCTAGTGAAATAGTTTTTCCTAATATCCAATCTGGACCTCTCCCACCACAGCTTGAGACCATTGCTCCTTGTTCTGCCATCTGTCACTACTGAGAACAGCCTTTCTCCATCCTCTTTGGAACCTCCCTTCAGGAAGTTGAAGGCTGCTATCAAATCCCCCCTCACTCTTCGCTTCTGCAGACTAAACAGACCCAAGTCCCTCAGCCTCTCCTCGTAGGTCATATGCTCCAGACCCCTAATCATTTTGGTTGCCCTCCGCTGGACCCTCTCCAATGCGTCCGCATCCTTTTTGTAGTGGGGGGCCCAGAACTGGACACAGTACTCCAGATGTGGCCTCACCAAAGCCGAATAAAGGGGAATAATGACATCTCTGGATCTGCTGGCAATGCTCCTCTTAATGCATCCTAATATGCCATTAGCCTTCTTGGCTACAAGGGCACACTGTTGACTCATATCTAGCTTCTCATCCACTGTAACCCCCAGGTCCTTTTCTGCAGAACTACTACTTAACCGGTTGGTCCCCAGCTTGTAACTATGCTTGGGATTCTTCCGTCCCAAGTGCAGGACTCTACACTTGTCTTTGTTGAATCTCATGAGATTTCTAGTGGCCCAATCCTCCAATTTGTCTAAGTCACTCTGGACCCTATCTCTGCCCTTAAGCGTATCTACCTCTCCCCCTAGCTTAGTGTCATCTGCAAACTTGCTGAGGGTGCAATCTATCCCCTCATCCAGGTCATTAATAAAGATATTGAACAAAACCGGTCCTAGAACCGAACCTTGGGGCACTCCACTAG